TGTAATACAAATAAAACTGAGTGGGTCAGGTTTGGGAGCCTGGTGAGCATATATGGTTTTCTGCCCATAATAAATAATTATATTTAATTCCACCAACCAACAATAACCCAATTACCCGTTCCCGTTATTCTCACATTACGTCCCTAAAACAACTAACACAAGGGACCTAGTCTTAGAATATTTCATTGGGGCGACAACACATGCTTTGGGGGTCCCTTAGCAATATAAGTCAGATAAGGCAACCATGAGGGGGATGAAGTACAACGAATGAACACCCAAGTTCATTAACACCTATAGGTGGCGAACCTGCTAGCGTTCCGCAAGACTGTCTAGAAAAGTTTGTGGTCGTCATCTAAACTCTGCTAGATGACTGAATCAAAAACAACATCGAGGCCTCTCATTTGTTTATCACACATTAACTATCTACCCATGTTCTACCCAACATATTAGTATATAAAAATATATATTTTTATACATAGTTTAAAACCCGTATAGCATGTTCAATCAATACATATTCCACATAACAGACGAGGCACACACACATAACACACATTTCATAGAGAATAAATCAGATCTATGAGATACTAGAAAGTGAATATACATTCACACATATAACAACAAAATATACACACAAGACGTATATCGTATAAAATACCTCATAGTTATGCGTTTGAAGAAAGTAACTACACACTCACTTGATCAGAAGATGATCAGACAACACTACGGCTTGTAGAAGTAGTATTCTTCGGTGAAACCGTGATCACTTCACACACCGGGTTTCTCGCGGGCAGAGCTTTGGCTCGGAAACTCTTTTCTTATTAGGATCTTCGGGCTTCGGGACTTGCTTCGGGTCTCGGGATTGATACCGGGGCTTCGGGGGTACTTATTTGCACGTAAATCGAGGTAATATGGGTGAGAGATGAGAGAATGAGCAACCCTAAACAGCTAGCCCTTCAAATCTATTTATAGAGAAAAACTGGCCCTTTCCACGTCGTGGCACCCTTTTTCCACGTCGTGGACTTGATCATCACTGCATGCGCCATCGCAAGTTGCATCTGGGGGACTCTCGGAGGTGTCAGAAGACTTTCCACGTTGTGACACTACTTGCCACGTCGTGGTATCTGATAGTTTTGGGGTTTCGCGCCTCGAACTTTAGAAATTCATAACTTTCGCATACGAACTCCGTTTTGGACGTTCTTTATATCGACACGAAGGTGAGATTATGATCTACAACTCTCGTTTAGACTTTATTGGTTAATTTTGATTTCATTTTTAATATATTATAAGTATATTACTTATATATTATTTTTAGTAGGCCGGGATAGGAAAACTGTGTTCGGAATTCATAACTCCTTCATCTGAACTCCGTTTTCATCTGTCTTTTTATAGTTGGACTACTATAAATGAGATATTCAATTCTCATTTAGAAAATTTTGGCTAAATACCACTCGATCTCTATTTCGAGTATTCGGGTTGTATACTGCTAAGTCGAAACTTCGAAAAATTATAACTTCCTCATACGAAGTTAGATTTGGGCGTTCTTTTTATGCACACTCTTGATTTAAGTAAATCTACAACATACGCTTAGATCACTAAGGCTAAATATCGCACTAACGTAAATTTCACTTTTTACGTCATTTGGTGTCGTGCCGGTTCTGTTGCGAAACTTCGATAGGTCATAACTTCTTCGTTATAACTCGGATTTCGGCATTCCTTATGTCTCCGGAATCCTTGTTTCGACCACTAAAACTTTATGAAAAGATACCGGATTTATCTAACATTTCATTTTGACGCTTATTTTTATTCTTAATTAAATTAGGTCACATAATTAAGCACATAACACATAATACTTAAATATTTCATCATTAATACTTCAAAAAGAGTTACAAGGGTTAACCTAGACTATTACATCAATGATAATGCCTAGCCTGGAAACGCGGACATTACAATTCTCTCCCCCTTAGGATGATTTTGTCCCTGGAATCACACATCAACAAATAAATGCGGATAGCGACTCAACATGTCACTATCCGTTTCCCAGGTGAGATTTGACCCATTCGTATGTTTCCAAAGGAAAATCACTAATTCGACCATCTTGCGTCGAAGCTTCTTAGTCTTTCGGTCAACAATTTCCTCTGGTTCTTCAATTAACCTCTTGTTTTCATCAATTCTCAATTCAAAAATTGGAATTATATCCGGAACTTCTCCCGTGAACTTCCTCAAATAACACACATGAAAAGTGTTATGAATACCATTTAGTTCTTCTGGTAATTCGAGCTTGTAAGCTTGGTTCCCAACCCTTTGAAGAACTTTAAACGGTCCAATAAACCTTGGACTCAACTTTCCCCTTTTACCAAATCTTATAAGTCCCTTCAATGACGAGACTTTAAGCAAAACCGAATCTCCAACTTCAAAAGTCATCGGCCTTCGCTTCTTGTCATCATAGCTCTTTTGATGATCTTGAGCTGCTAACATTATTTCCATGATCACTTTCAACTTCTCAGCAGTTTGATGGACCATCTCGGGACCCATAAACTGCTTTTCCCCAGCCTCAAGCCAACAAGACAGCTTACGACACTTCTGTCCGTACAAAGCTTGATAAGGTGCCATCTTTATGCTTGAGTGGAAACTCTTATTGTAGGAAAATTCTACCAAAGGTAAATGTTTATCCCAGTTACCTAGGAATTCCAGGGTACATGCTCTCAACATATCTTCAAGTGTTTGTATTATTCTTTCACTCTGACCATCAGTCTGTGGATGGTAAGCTGTACTTAAACATAACTTGGTACCGATTTCCTCTTGTAGACTTTTCCAAAACCTTGAGGTGAAACAACTATCACGATCCGATACAATCGTTAACGGAACACCATGATGCCTCACAATTTCCTTCACATAAGAATTCGCGAGCTTTTCCATAGACCATTTCTCATTGGCTGCTATGAAATGCGCACTCTTAGTGAATCGATCAATGACCACCCAAATCATGTCGTGACCATTCTTTGTTCTGGGTAGTTTAGTGACAAAATCCATCGCAATGTCTTCCCATTTACCTATAGGCACAGGTACAGGTTCTAAACTCCCATATGATTTCTGATGTTGTGTCTTGACTCTCGCACAAGTCACACACTCGGCCACATACTTCGCAACATCAAGCTTCATCGTTGGCCACCAGTAGTAGGCTTTCAGGTCCCCATACATTTTAGTGCTACCAGGATGAATCGAGTACATGGTCTTGTGAGCTTCTTCCATCAGAAGATCTCTGACTCCTCCTATCTTAGGTATCCAAATCCGATCTTGGAACACCTTCAGTCCATGATTGTTTATACCGAACACCAACATTTTTCCCAAACATTCTTACTTTCGGTCATTCTTCTCAGAAGCTTCCTCTTGAGCTTTCTTTATACCTTCCACAATGGTCGAGACAACTTCAATTCTCAACGCTCTTGGCCTCTTCCTTTCAAGATTGACTTTCCGACTGAGAGCATCAGCAACAACATTAGCTTTACTAGGGTGGTAAAGTATCTCACAGTCGTAGTCCTTAAGTAACTCTAGCCAGCGTTGTTGCCTCATATTCAATTCTTTCTGATTAAAGAGATATTGGAGACTCTTATGATTAGTGAAAAGTTTACACTTTGTGCCATATATGTAATGCCTCCATATTTTCAGAGCAAAAACTACCGTTGCCAACTCCAAGTCATGAGTAGGGTAGTTCCTTTCATGCTCTTTCAGTTGTCGAGATGCATACGCGATCACCTTATCTCTTTGGGTCAAAACACAACCCAACCCAACTCCAGATGCATCGCTATAAACAGCGAAGTCTTCAACTCCATCCACTACTAGAAAAATAGCCTTTTACGACGCTCATTGCGCGTCGTAAAAGGCTCAGACGACGCACAAATGCGTGTCAAGGAAGGCCCTGTCATAAAGAGAGATGACACACTTTTACGACGCTCATTTACGATGCGCAATTACGACGCGCGTTTACGACACACAATGCGTATCAAGGAAAGCCCTGTCATAAAGGAAGACGACACACATTCGCGTGTAGTAACCTTACGACGCGCGTGTTAATGACACGCAATGCATATCAAGAAAGCCCCTGTCAAGAAAGGCCATGTCATAAATGAAGATGACACACATTTTTGCGTATCGTAAATTTAAATGTTTAAAAAAAATAAATTTATATATTTATTAATTTTTAAATTAAATTTGCATTTAATTTCTCATAATATAAATAAAATACCATATACAAAAAATACAATCCATTGCATAATATAAAATAAAATTTCATACTAAAAAAATAAAATAAATTGCACAAATTATAATGTCATACGAAGAATCATTCAAATGTTAAACAAAAATAATACATTGCTAACATGGGTTATACATTCCTATAAAACTAACAAATAATCGTACAACTCTGTTTCTTACTGGAAAGGAATGCCAAACATGATTACAAGTCTCCCTTAATCTTGATTACTCACCTGCTTAAGTAGAATGCTGTTGTTGAGAAGGTTACCTAGCAACAGAGAAAAACACAACACCTCTCCCACAATCACAACATCATTTAAAGAGAAAGGGTTGTCAATTACTTTCATTCAATCACAAAAATATTAAATAAAAGGGTGAAAAAGTAACTTACTTTCATTAGAAAGAATATTGGAAATAGTGAAGCCAAGTAACATAATACCTGAAAATCCCATGAAGAGCAAAGTAATTATCTATTGTTATTAGTAATAATCCCATTTCTAGACACTATAGGAAATAATATTCCAGTAAGATCAAAGGAGAATATTCTATATGATTAGATTAGGGTAGTAGACAAATGACCTAAAATGTCCAATCTTACTTTCATTAGAAAGAATATTGGAAATGCTATAAACTTCACTCCATAGGTAAGTGTTCCCTAATGGACGCCATCTTATCCGACCTGATTCTACTAAATTTAGAGGAAGAGGAAACTCGTGTCCTGGATATACAGGGTCCAAAATCTTAGGAGATCACCAAATGGGATATCGAATCTGACTTCCAAGTGTCCAAGTTGTGGTGTCTTTTACATGGTTGCTGGGGTCTTTGGTCAAAGCTGTGAGCATGAAGTTTAGAGCAACATTGACTAAAGGAGTCAACTGATTGGGTGAAGGACCTTCTAAGATGGATCCAAAAGCATAAGTAGCTCCTTCCCTTTGTCTCCAATCTGGTTTTGTTATGTTTTCTTCAATGAAAGGCATCACAAGTGGAACAATATCATTTCCTACTGTTCTTGCAACTAAACCAAGACAAGTTCCTCCTTCCATTTCAGATTAAGCAATAATATTTTATTATTTTTTAAATTACATGTGCAAATGCATAAATTGCACGCAAGATTCTTGAATAATCAGTTCGAAGCATTTGAATAACAATGTCTGCTAGTAATGTTCCCCATAGCCTGCATAAATAAATATAAATAAATATAAATACATAAATAAATAAATTATTATTAGTGGAAGGGTAAAAAATGAATAATACATAGGACCAAGTAACACCATTATGCTCCTAATTAACACCAAGATATCGCGATGCAGCACCTGCTAACCCATGTTCACAAAATCACCAATCAATAAACAATTCTTTCACTAAAAAAAATTCACAACTTAATATTATATTATTTTTATATTTAATATCCAACAATCTGCAAATGACAACAAAATAAATAGATTATGATAATATAAATATATTATATTTATATCCAAATCCAATCACTTGTTTTGCTGCAAGTAAAGCTACTCTTGACTCCAAGTTTATAGCTGCCATTCGTCCACCCTGATAACCATCATAACATTAACATATCAAATATATATATATATATATATATATATATATATATATATATATACACCAATTTGAGAACTTCCTTCTTTATTTGATAATTGACAGCTTCCAAGAACACCTTGCCTGATAATTTACTTGATATCTACAACACCACATGATTTTGTTCGTTTTTTTAACTAACCATAACCATGAAAGTTGCTTTAAGTGCATGCCCAAAAGCAGATTCCACATCGACATTGAGCTGAAACATGGATGGCAAGCTCTCCAAGAATGCATCCACCATTCATTTCTTTATCATATTATTTACAACTTATCATAAAGCAAAATATACCAACATTATACTTTCAAGTTTTGTCTTATCAAGACATTGTACTTTGAAAAAGCTACTCAATTATAGGCAGCATTTAACCAATCATTTTCTTATTAGGACATTTATATCCTTATATTTGGACATCATTGATTTTGATTTAATTGGGCAGATTTTTTTTAGTAGATTGCTAAAATAAGAAATACTTGGTTTGGTCTTCAATTGACTTGGAAATTATTTCATTCAGCCGCTTCCTGCTAAACGGATCATTTCAAGATTTGAAAACTATTTAAAAAAAGTGATAATTGTAGAAAACAAATTGATAACCTTCTAAAATCTTGGGAGCTAAAAGACTAAAATGATAATTTAAAAGATATCAAGTGGTCTGAAAAATTCATATTTAAAAAAAATGTATTTTAGAAAACGAGGCATCCCGGAGGAAATAGAAAAAGAAAAAAGAGTAAATTACTAATTTAGTCCCTATGGTTTACACAAAACTACAAGTTGAATCCAATCATTGAAATTGTCCCAATAATGTCCTATTTTGTTGCGGATATGGTCCCTATGTTTAACTCAAAATTGTAAATTTACTCCAAAAATTGAAGTCATTATTATATAGCCGCAACACAATGCAAATTTAAGGACGACATTTGGGACGATCTCGAAATTTGGTTTGAACTTGTGATTTTTAGTACATTATAGGGACCAAAATTGTAGTTTAATCGAGAAAAACAATCTAGGACAAAATTGTAATAGGTTAGCACATAATTAGATGATGACTCGTCTTTTTATATCAATCAGATTGATCAAAGTATTCTTGGTGGGCTTGTGGCGGAATTTTGTCATAAGGTGTTTGACATGTCTATAAAGACACGTGCCAAACAAATCGAGAGGTTCTTGTGAGACCCCATCAACTTTCATACCTAAACCACTTGTGTTTGTTGTTTTTTAATCACACACTCGAGGCTTTTTGAAATTACCTTCTTGCCCTCATGACAGCCTTCGTTTTTCAATTCTTTCCCCATGGATTATTTACATCTTATCCAAGTTATGGATTCTAATAAGTTCACAATGAGATCATCTGGCAACGGAATAAATATATCATCCAAATTAGAGACAACCATCAAAAACGAATGAAAAAGTACAACTACGTACAACAAAAAAACTCTTCAATTGTTTTGCTCACTCCACATTAACTCTAATATAAGTTATATGAGCTTTATAATAATACAAAAAATATCCAGATATTGAATACAAAATATTTTGTTTGTTACTTGTGTTAACCGTCTATTTTCTCGGTTCCCATACAAGAGTAATGATATGCATGTATGTGCCAGCAGCAAATTATATGTTGAGATTCAAGATCCAGGATCCTCTTCTCTATATTATCTACAAAAAAAAGAACACCGTTATTTACCTTGATTTGAAACAACATTCTACAGAGCAAATTATATGTAAGGGGGCTAGTGTATTTTTATTTTCATTGGTGTGAGCTGCTGCTGTTAATATTGAGTTTTCAGGAAAAACATTCAGACTCATGAGATCCCAAGCATCCGTAATCATATAAAATGTTATGAAAGCAACCTCAATGAAGTATTCTACAACAGTGATATTGAGATTCATTTTTTGACTCGAGATGAACATTTGTCATGACTGGGCTGTTTTGAAGGGTGCTTTTCCCTTGCTTTCTTCTTAAGCTTACTTGTTTTGTTATTCTTTTATTACTATAAATAATAAATTCAAAAAATTTCATTCACTAATATCTAAAGTGGAAATAAACTCAATACTATAATTTATTTTTTTTTAAACTGTTAATAAATACTATATCCAAATATACAAATACCATGACAATACAATGTAATCATTCCATTCCATCCAACCAAACAGACCCGTATAAATCTTGATAAATTTCTCATCATTAAGAATTTAAAACAAACAACTTGGCAGACATACCTTCTGAACAGTCCCATAACAGACACTGAAGAAGAGATGCTGAGCTGCAGGTCACCTTCCCATAAACATTCACCAATCGCTACACTAGGAGCCAAAACTTTTCTCTCTGCAAAAGTCTCCCCACTTTTCACACTTGACAACTCCACAAGTAATTCCACCTCAGAAGAAGTGCTTCCACCTCCACACGTGCTTCCACCATAGTTTTAACAGTTTCACCACTTTTTTTTCTCTCTTTGGAATTTCTACAAACACTTTATGTGCATATTTATTAAGCATGTTCTGAACCTCTACAACCCAATTGTTAGCATCATTCTAGTCAATTCCTTTGTCCTGTAACGAGTATCTTTGAAAAAAAGAGTGTTAGAATCAAAGGAAATGGAGGTGGGGGGGGGGGGACGAAAGAGCGTTAGAATCGAAGGAAATATCTTTATAAGAAAATGAGATAATACAAGGTATATGAGGTATGCAAATGCATCACAGGAAAAAAAATGAAGAAGATTGTTTTACACCATATGTACCTATGTCCTGTAATGGGTATCTGTTGCAGGTATGTTCAATTGTGCCTTCCATTCTTGAGAGCTAAACCAGCAAAATGCATAAAAATATAAGTTCATCATTCTCTGATTTCAGTACTACATGGTCTCAAAGAATACATGTATGTGCAATTGATCACTCAAAGAGTACGTACATACATAAATGAGTTTATATTCTCTTTTACACACTGATATTATATGAATAAGTTATATGAATGAGTTATAAAATGGTCAATAGGCGTGACACTAATGGGCATATGGCTTCAAAGTCTGTTTTGATAAAATACAAAGATGATGATGGCGATTTGTTGACTATAACATGTACCTGTGAGCTCAGATTAGCTGAATCAATTGCAGATAGCCTTGTGCTTCCAGATAAAGAACCCTATACCTAAAAAATCGACTTATTTGGGGTTTTTAAATTGCATGTTGCCAATGTTACCCCTGAGCAGGAACCACCATTGTTAGAAGAAGTAGAAGAAGATGAAGTGGAAGAAGAAAAGCTGGTTGAGATCAAGAGTATTGAAATAGAAAAGAATGGGTCCCATTCCAACTTCGAAAGTGAACAAAACTGGAAAAGGAATCTGAAAAAAATACCCGATGATCCATAGTTGAAAGAAGTTGAAATGGAAGATTGATTGTTTGAATTCGCTCAGTTATTTCGAACCCTCACACGTATTCGGTTGAGAGAAAACGAGAGAAGCGGAAGCTTGAAAGAAAATAAAACCCTAGCACGTGCTAGAGAGAAGGGAGGTAGGGATGGCTTAGAGTTTACAAAGAGACGGGAGGTAGAGAATGAAGGGAGATCTAGAGGAGAGAGTATCAGAGAGGGAGAGTGGATTGCAAGGATGAAAGATAGATAGAAGATAGAAAAAACTAGGCGGGTTTTCAAAATTTTGGGGATTTCATTTCCCCCTTGTCTACTAAAAGCACGTTTCATTAAAATTATAAAGCGACAGGTATAGACGACACGCGTTTAAGATAAAGTGCCCTCCGTGTTTTTTTTTCTTGAGACACTAAATTAAGGGCACGCAACAATGTGTGACGTAAATCCTTAAATTTTTTGGAGAGATAACACTATTTTAAGGGCACATCCTTTCGCGTATCATTAATCAGTGCGTGTCGTAAAAAGCGCGTCATTAAAGGTCTGTTTTCTAGTAGTGATCGGGTAGAGATAAAATCGGTGCCTCGCATAGCTTCTTCTTTAGCTTCTCGAATGCTTCTTTATGCTTATCACTCCAAGCATAAGTAGCTCCTTTGTGGGTCAAAGCTGTTAATGGACTAGCGATCGAAGAAAATCCTTGGATAAACCTTCGGTAATATCCGGCTAATCCTAAAATGCTTCGGATCTCCGTGGTACTTTTTGGTTGTTCCCACTTCATTACAGCCTCAATCTTTGTTGGATCGACAATTATCCCTTCCTGGTTGACCACGTGACCCAAGAATTGGACTTCTCGAATCCAAAAATCACATTTGGAGAACATTGCATACAACTCCTCCTTCTTCAAAACTTCTAACACTTCTCGCAAGTGTCTGCCATGCTCCTCTTGGCTTTTCGAATAAATCAGAATGTCGTCTATGAACATTATCACAAATTTATCAAGGAATGGATTACAAACCCGATTCATTAAATCCATGAATGCTGCCGGAGCATTGGTTAGTCCAAACGACATAACCAAAAACTCGTAGTGTC